TACGGCCAGTCGACCGGAAGGAATTTGGACGAAGCTTACTTACCTATATCCAAGGCGACTGGTCCCTCCGGAGTCGGTCAGGTCGCATGTGGTTGTGTAGTGCAAGGGAAAGAATGGTGATGTGGTGTGTATCTGGGTGTGACTGATGGTGATTGAACCTAGACCTTAGCCGTCGGCAGCAGCCCGGGCGTCGACACCGCTCCAACTTGAGGGGGCCTTCCGAGGCTTTGTCCACATTCACTTTCCTTGTTCGTCACGATAACAGTCACTTAACTCTATCGTACGATTAACTAGCTTACAGAAGCCACTAATTATCGCGGGGTATAAGGTTACCACACAAAACACGCACGGAGTTTCTGGATCAAAGGTCACTACCGTTTCGCGTTGCAACAGTTAGTTCTAGAATACAGAGGCCACACTAGCTAATATTGTCGAATGCACTTATACAGATTCTGAGTCGGACCCAATAAGTCCCGGGAAGCTCTCCAGCAGGAATGCGCGTCACAAAATCCTAGACCGTATATTTACGGGCCGCACCTAATTATTCCGAGTTCTCTAACAGAATTGACCGCGTGCTCACATCAGCACCGCTTACAGACAATTGACGCGCTTGCGACCCGCGCGCCACTGCCACGCTCGGAAGAACTTCAGACCGGAATCGCGCCGAGCCGAGTGACATCTGGTGTCGATTCCGACAACAGCGTTTTGCGCGAACAAACCCCCGTCCCGGACATAAGGATTTAGGTCCGCGAGCAAACCGGTCAGCGGGACAAGGTCGAGACTGCAAGTTGCAAGACCGAATCTACAACCAAACTAGGCCACCTTAGGCAATCCATTAGGTCTTGCAACCCTAATCAACGCCTCAAAAGATATCCCTAATGTGGCAAGCCGGAGGGTCAGCCTCCACTGGATGCCCCTCCTGGGCATCGCAGCACTTTAATAAGTCCTGTACTGGACGGAAGTCCGACGACCTCTTTCAAACACCTATCTGTGCCCCTATGATTAGTTCCGCAATCCGACCGGATCAGCTCTGCAAACAGCGACGCTACACGAAGCTGCCCAGACAAATTTTGTGCCAACAGTTGCTTCAGTGCAGAGCGCACCCACAAATTCCACATGAACGTCGTCTATGGAGAGCCGAGCGAAACGCACATATAGTCCCTAGTATGAATTTTCAACAAGTAGGCCTAGCCAGCTAAGCTAATCTCCAAAACTAGCTAGCCTGTTAGGCAAGTAGTCCTATGCTCATATTTCAACTAATTTTTCAAAAGCATCAATGTTCAACTACAGAATTAATTCAACCAAATTAATCACCGATGCGCATAGGTCAACTTGCAAATTAAACAAAACAATAACGTAAGGGACAGCCCTACTTCTTCGCAAAGCAAAATGATTAAACACTATCTATGTATGTTACATAATTTTTCAAATAGCGCGCCATTCAATTTCCTTTCAGCGAACAGACGCAACAATCAAATACAGTGATTAAATATATGTACAAAACACATGCAGTAGCATTTAAAGGAGTAGATTAAATTCAATTCTTTTAATTTAAACCGCTACAAATAGGGAAATTTCGCGGAAAGCTGAAGGCAATTTTTAATTTTAATTCAAGTATTTTTTGACTAAGTGCTCGACCAAACCAAATCTAATACCCCTTGACAGCGTGATTCAACGATCCAGAGGGGCCCTAATCTTCCCACCACCAAGGGGAGGCCACATGGCGTGAACCCGAGATCGCTAACAGTCGCCACTCGGGTTGTACGCCTTCACTGAGGCCGTCGGCAACAGAACATTTTGACAAATGGACTGTTGACGGCTTAAGGCTCAGTGGAGGTGGCCGTGGTGGGAGCTAAGGCGGCAGCTAGCCAGGGCCGCCTCCATCAAATGGGGAACAGTGGTACACCAGTCGCGGCCACTCAGCTAACGGGAGTGAGAAGGGTCCAGCGGACCGATGAGTGGCCGTGAAGTTCCTCTCCTCACGCTTAGGGGGGGTGATGACACCCCCGCCCCTGGGGGAATTACCCCCCGACTGGTCGGGGGAGGGACCCCTTTCAAACTTAGGGGCCTGATGGCTGGCCGAGGGCGTGGCCGAGAGCGTGGCTGAGCGCCCCCGCCCGTGCGGGTCGAGGGCCTGGCAGAGCCCCGAGAGGAGACGCCGTTCGCACTCAGGCACAAAACGGCATGATGATTGCCCTGGCAATGCAGACAGGGCCGCCGATGCGGACAGTCTCGCTGGAGGTGTCCTCCCAAACATGAGCAGCACCAGCGGCGCTCCTTGGCGATAGTTCGCCTCGCTGGAACCGGCTTACGTAATAATTTCGGGCACGACGTTACCCGATGATCAGATGCTCGATAATAGGAGCAGGGGGGGTTGACGACGACTTGCCTGGAGGATTCAGCCTCTCACTGGGCACGGCTCGTAAGTCGTCAACGGTGCCCGCCGCGCTCTCTATCTGCCGGCACTGCTCCTCCAAAAACCGCAGCAGGTCATAGAAGGGCGGAATATAGGAGGCCTCGTCCCCGCCGTACCTCTCCTCAAAATGGGTTCGAAGGTCGAGAGGTAGACGGGACAGCACGATGCGGAGCAACAAAAAAGCCCATTCGCCCACTGGTAAACCCAGCCGCCTCAACGTATTACAGGCCACCAAGACTGGATCCAACAGGTCCGGACGCAGTCTGGCCCGGTCACTAAGCAGCGGGAGCCTTAGAAGCTGCTTAACATGTTCGTCCGCAATTCGCCGGACGTTGGCGTATCTTCTGGCTAGGAGGTCCCGAGCAGTCTGGTAGGCGTCGTCCGACAATCTCAAGTGGCCGAAGACGCCCAGGGCCTCCCCCTCCAGTGAAGCTAGGAGGTACACCATCTTTTGGCTCGGGGTCAAGTTACTCCGGGCGTCCACTAGGCTGTCGAAAAGACCAACGAAGGTCAGCCATTCGGAAAGGACCCCGGAGAACTTTGGCAGGTCCAGAGTTGGGAGTCGTCCCAACAGCTCCGGCTGAAGCTGCTTCAGAGAGGACTCGGACAGGTCACTCATCCGAGCTTCACGCGCCTCCTCGGCATACCTGCCTTCAGCCTCGATCAACTCGTCCGTGAGCCACAAGAACTGCTCATAGTCCGCGAAGCAGGAGTCCAGGACTCCCTTCTCCACATCCGAATCCTCGAGCTCAGCGTAAGCCTCCTCCACTGCGGCCCTTCGAGCATCCACCTGCTCGAACCGCTTCATCAAGTTATGGACCCTATCCGGTCGACCTATCAGAGCATAGGCGCTTGTGGCCCAGCGTAGCTCAGTCCGCAAACAACGGATCAGTAGCTTGGGCGATGTCATCACTATTAAATGCAAATTACGACGCGGCTTGAGCACGGATTACAAAGATAACAAACAAAAAATACAACAAAAATTAACAGTTAATAAATGCAGTTCCTATCAAATCGCGTTGAATAGAAATTACACAAATACGAATTACTACGTATCAACCAAATACAAGTTAGCACAAAAGAAAAGACACAAATCAAATTAACAAATAACAAATACTAGTGCGATCAAATAAAGTAAATTCAAAGTGCGCAAATACAAATCACTACTCTTTAGCTCAAACACAACTTACAGTATAAACGAAGATACACATCACGGACGATCAACAAAAAATGCCTAGCTCGGAAATCGACCCTTCGATAAGTAATCCACTACAACTACCCGACAACGATAATTAACCGATTACGTAAAAATAACCATCTACCTACATGACGTATATCTCTAGAAAACTCCCGCTTGCGCAACCTAGGGCGCGGCTTTTCAAATCTACCCACTAACTAAAAAAAGGCAAGCAACAAAGAACAAAGGGAAATAATTCTATTATTACGTACAAAAAAATATTTTTACGTATTACGGACGGGCGTGATTGTAGATACAAATTAAACCAATCAAACCAACGCTCCCTGCCACCAGAATTGTTTAATGTTTATCAAACACTATGGTCGGGATCGACCGGGAATCGAACCCGGAACCACGCTCTGCTACCATTTTGTTACGGCCTACGGCTGCTCCCTTAAAGGATCCAATCCTCTGGGGCCCATGAGCAGAAGACTTCCCGAGCAAACGTAGGTCGGGCCTCAATGTGGCCACGTGGAATCTCTCTAATTACACTAAAATATATGGGGGAGCGTTATACTACGGCCAGTCCACCGGAAGGAATTTGGACGAAGCTTACTTACCTATATCCAAGGCGACTGGTCCCACCGGAGTCGGTCAGGTCGCATGTGGTTGTGTAGTGCGAGGGAAAGAATGGTGATGTGGTGTGTATCTGGGTGTGACTGATGGTGATTGAACCTAGACCTTAGCCGTCGGCAGCAGCCCGGGCGTCGACACCGCTCCAACTTGAGGGGGCCTTCCGAGGCTTTGTCCACATTCACTTTCCTTGTTCGTCACGATAACAGTCACTTAACTCTATCGTACGATTAACTAGCTTACAGAAGCCACTAACTATCGCGGGGTATAAGGTTACCACACAAAACACGCACGGAGTTTCTGGATCAAAGGTCACTACCGTTTCGCGTTGCAACAGTTAGTTCTAGAATACAGAGGCCACACTAGCTAATATTGTCGAATGCACTTATACAGATTCTGAGTCGGACCCAATAAGTCCCGGGAAGCTCTCCAGCAGGAATGCGCGTCACAAAATCCTAGACCGTATATTTACGGGCCGCACCTAATTATTCCGAGTTCCCTAACAGAATTGACCGCGTGCTCACGTCAGCACCGCTTACAGACGATTGACGCGCTTGCGACCCGCGCGCCACTGCCACGCTCGGAAGAACTTCAGACCGGAATCGCGCCGAGCCGAGTGACATCTGGTGTCGATTCCGACAACAGCGTTTTGCGCGAACAATAACTATACATATATAAGTAACTTAACTATCAAAAAAGCTGTACGAGTCGCAAACTGTGGCCCGTACAAAGAGTCTTACCAACTAGTCAGTCATGATGAATCGTTGAACATACCTATAAGCTTATCCCATGCAGTGGCATCTACTTTTCCTGGCGGAGCCTTCTTCATGGCTTCCGTGAGGCTCGCTATTGCTTTTAGTACAAATGATATTTCTGAGAGTTGATGCCTGTTTGGAAAAAGAACAGCATTAAAAAAAATCGAGATATAGCAGTTCAGGAACGACGAGATTAAATTAATTAGAAAAGAAATAGCAGATAACTTTAATTAATGATGTATGTTATACGTGCTCATTTGAGACTTCAGGACTCGAAAAATATTTAGAGTTAATGAGAGGTAATGTGTTGTACACAACCAAGAGTAAATAATATATTTATTTACTCTTGGTTGTGTACAACACATTATTATAGATCATTCAAAAAAGTAGAGTTAGCGCCTTTTGTGTTCCTCTCATCGGCATTCTATCTCCATACATTATTCCTTTAAACAAATAATTTATGATCAAAGTGGTCGAACATCATACTTTATAATGCAGATATTACTTATCTTCTCATAAAATTATTCATTATTGAACTAATATTCTCATATCAAAACGCAATAGAAATGTTAGAAGAAATATTAGCCCTCAGTGCTTAGCACAGAATAAAGATAACATTATGCCAATCATACCTGGGCAAGGGCTCGGTGTTGTCATCGTCGCTCGTATACCTTGATATCACTTCTTGGAACCTGTCCAGCAGTGGCATTATTGCTAAGGGGTCTGAGTCACCTGAAATGTAAAATACAGCATGTTAAAAATCGTAGCCGATGTAAAATGGTCTTAAATTTATGGCAATAAGGTACTCATTCATTTATTAAATACAGCCTACGAAAGTCCACTGCTGATCATAGTGATATAGAAATAGATATTATCTTTAACTATTAGTATATAGTATAAATATAATTTAAGTAAAATTTCCCCTTAATAGATTGAAGAATTCGCTTATAAAATAAAATAAAAAATACCATTAAATATAGTTTGATTTTTTTACGGAAATACACATTTATAATTTAGGTAATACATCCCAGGACGTGACTTACTATCTCCCCCAGTTAAAGAGTCGATATCCTCCAACATTGAGAACTGAAGCAGAGTTTCGAAACAGGTCCGTGCAAACTCCTCCCTCTCGCGTAGCTCTTGCTCATTTTCTGTGTGTAAAAAGAAACGATCATATAATGATAACTATCTATCATAACGAACTATACAAGCTTTTCCAAATGTCGACTTTTCGGTTTGAAGGGTATAGAAATCTAGTAATAATTAAAGGTTGTATGGCATTTCATCTTATGGCTGATCACGAACACTTCGAGAAGTACAGTAGCGAGTTTAGTTACAGGGCAGTTGACAGTAAACGGTTAAGTGTGGGCAGTAGCGTTCAAATGTCTTCGTGGCGAGTTTAGTTAAAAAGTACAATTTTATAATTTGAGGGTCGAACGCGAACACGTTGCGTCAACTTATGGCACTGAACTAAACTTGCTCGTTCACGAGTTTAGTCGCGGGCACGGAGCAAATACAGAGAGGTAATTAGATTTCACTATGTAACTACGCGTGACAATTTGCAGGGTGAGGGGGAGTAAAGCACTGCCCACTTATATACCACTATATTATAAATAGTAAAACTACTCGCATCGTCCCACATCGATGTTGCAAAGTAGTTTAGCTACCTTGATGATAGATGGCGGCCTGTCCACAAAATGATTATAAAAACTATAAAAATAATATTTTGGCGATTAAGACTTCTTTAGGACTGAATGCAAAACAAATTTCAGCACCTTCGTATGATTATTTTGCCAATACTGAGCTCTACGTACCTTTATATTTTTAGTTCCCATGACACAAAGTTTCGCCATCTATTGTCAAATATATTTAATTATATTTGAAAGCCGACTCAAAGAGATTTTACTAGAACTAATTTAATAATTTCGGTATAAAATTACTTACACATGAAATGTGATGCCATTCATAGCGTAACTAAAGTAAAAAACAAAAAAAAAAACTGACAGTATAGTAACTAAAGCCACGCCCACTGTGATGACGTCAGGACCTAGTCAGAATCACAGTGCACAGTTGCTTAAGCCGTCTCCTCTTTGCATTTGCTCTGCGGATGGCGGGAGACGAGCGGGAGGGCAACACTCGAAGTTAATTCGCTGAAAATAAAGCTCGGCCGGCTATCCCGTTCAATTTAATTGTTAATTTGTTACATAACTCACTAATTGCAGTTTAAATAAGATTTTAACTTAACTAGCCAGGTTCGCAAGTTACTCGCCACTGTACTTGTCGAAGTGTAAATCGGGCTTTAGTCTTTAGTGGTGACCACGGCATCTGTGGCCCATTTTGTTTGAAGTCGGTTGCGGTGCCCATGGGTTGCAGTAGCCACCATCAGGTGGACTGTACGTTGATTTGTAGTAAGTAATTGATTTTTTCTGTCAAGGAAATTCACATTACAACTCAGGAAGTAGGCGATGTTTCACCTCCGTGTCGCGAAAACTTCTTTACTGCTGTTTAAAGGAGATATTAATTGTTTTGTTATATTACTGCAAACAATTTTTGTTGTTTTTTGTTTTTTCGTTTTGAAGGTATTCGCAAAAACTTTTTGTTTCTAGTTTGAAAGCTGACGTACACTAAGGCGGTCCATACACTTATAGTGTATAATTGCGCAATATTTTGGGGTTTAGGTGGAAACTTGACCGCCGGCGGATTGCTGCACTTGTTCTATTGTATAAATAATGGTTTGAAGTGGATTTTGTATTTGATATGTAAATGTCTGTGGATGTGAACTATTAGTGCAATCGATGAAATTAGTGCTCCGTTGGTAATGTAAATCTCAAGATAATGTGTGTGCTTAGGCGCCTTGAGATACTGTCGTCATCGACAGTCTGCTGGCTCAACCTGCCGTCAAGATCTCCCAAAAATATCACAATATGACGCATTAATATATTGAGAATTGTGTTTTTAACAAATTATTACTATAATAAAAATAATTTCTTATTACTTGACCCTGGCAAAATACAACAGTCTATTATCAAAAAAAAAATACAAGTTTTAATTTTAATTAAGGGACTTTTGTTTTTAATTTTTAACGTGTTAGTTTTATTTTACCTTGTAACTAAATAACACAAATGATTTATTAAATTACTTGTATAATATTCTAACTAAACGACACACCCTTTGAGCAGCACTGGATAATAGTTCAGAGAGAATACTATGATATTCACCTTTGTTACATATTTTAATGCTAATTTTAGCGACCGATAGTTCCCTCTTTTGATGATTCTTGGAACGTTCCGCGAACAAGTGTAGTGTATTTTCTATTGTGCTGCATGTTTCGCATTTTTAAGATTTTGTAAGACTTTTTTTGCATTATGAAAGAAAACTTGTTGTACGTAATGCCTCCGGAGCGAAGTCGTATTGTTAATACAACAAATTAATAAGCCATAAGCCGGTGTTGTTAGAAGGGTTTTTTTGTAGAATAAGGGTAACAAACGAGTACAAAGTCCACCATAATGTAAGTGGATATGTGGTTCATAGACCTCGTTGCGCACCAGCGTGCAGCGAGCAGCAACATGAGGTGCGTACGTACGGTTGGGCGTGGGGTGCGCGAACAGCGCGGCGGCGCGCAGCAGCGCCAGCACGCGCTGCGCGTGCGCGGGGGGCGCGCGCGGCCGCCCGCGCAGCACCTCGTCGCGCACCAGCGAGCAGCGAGCAGCGAGCAGCGAGCAGCAACATGAGGTGCGTACGTACGGTTGGGCGTGGGGTGCGCGTGCAGCGCGGCGGCGCGCAGCAGCGCCAGCACGCGCTGCGCGTGCGCGGGGGGCGCGCGCGGCCGCCCGCGCAGCACCTCGTCGCGCACCAGCGAGCAGCGAGCAGCGAGCAGCGAGCAGCAACATGAGGTGCGTACGTACGGTTGGGCGTGGGGTGCGCGAACAGCGCGGCGGCGCGCAGCAGCGCCAGCACGCGCTGCGCGTGCGCGGGGGGCGCGCGCGGCCGCCCGCGCAGCACCTCGTCGCGCACCAGCGAGCAGCGAGCAGCGAGCAGCGAGCAGCAACATGAGGTGCGTACGTACGGTTGGGCGTGGGGTGCGCGTGCAGCGCGGCGGCGCGCAGCAGCGCCAGCACGCGCTGCGCGTGCGCGGGGGGCGCGCGCGGCCGCCCGCGCAGCACCTCGTCGCGCACCAGCGAGCAGCGAGCAGCGAGCAGCGAGCAGCAACATGAGGTGCGTACGTACGGTTGGGCGTGGGGTGCGCGTGCAGCGCGGCGGCGCGCAGCAGCGCCAGCACGCGCTGCGCGTGCGCGGGGGGCGCGCGCGGCCGCCCGCGCAGCACCTCGTCGCGCACCAGCGAGCAGCGAGCAGCGAGCAGCGAGCAGCAACATGAGGTGCGTACGTACGGTTGGGCGTGGGGTGCGCGTGCAGCGCGGCGGCGCGCAGCAGCGCCAGCACGCGCTGCGCGTGCGCGGGGGGCGCGCGCGGCCGCCCGCGCAGCACCTCGTCGCGCACCAGCGAGCAGCGAGCAGCGAGCAGCGAGCAGCAACATGAGGTGCGTACGTACGGTTGGGCGTGGGGTGCGCGTGCAGCGCGGCGGCGCGCAGCAGCGCCAGCACGCGCTGCGCGTGCGCGGGGGGCGCGCGCGGCCGCCCGCGCAGCACCTCGTCGCGCACCAGCGAGCAGCGAGCAGCGAGCAGCGAGCAGCAACATGAGGTGCGTACGTACGGTTGGGCGTGGGGTGCGCGTGCAGCGCGGCGGCGCGCAGCAGCGCCAGCACGCGCTGCGCGTGCGCGGGGGGCGCGCGCGGCCGCCCGCGCAGCACCTCGTCGCGCACCAGCGAGCAGCGAGCAGCGAGCAGCGAGCAGCAACATGAGGTGCGTACGTACGGTTGGGCGTGGGGTGCGCGTGCAGCGCGGCGGCGCGCAGCAGCGCCAGCACGCGCTGCGCGTGCGCGGGGGGCGCGCGCGGCCGCCCGCGCAGCACCTCGTCGCGCACCAGCGAGCAGCGAGCAGCGAGCAGCGAGCAGCAACATGAGGTGCGTACGTACGGTTGGGCGTGGGGTGCGCGTGCAGCGCGGCGGCGCGCAGCAGCGCCAGCACGCGCTGCGCGTGCGCGGGGGGCGCGCGCGGCCGCCCGCGCAGCACCTCGTCGCGCACCAGCGAGCAGCGAGCAGCGAGCAGCGAGCAGCAACATGAGGTGCGTACGTACGGTTGGGCGTGGGGTGCGCGTGCAGCGCGGCGGCGCGCAGCAGCGCCAGCACGCGCTGCGCGTGCGCGGGGGGCGCGCGCGGCCGCCCGCGCAGCACCTCGTCGCGCACCAGCGAGCAGCGAGCAGCGAGCAGCGAGCAGCAACATGAGGTGCGTACGTACGGTTGGGCGTGGGGTGCGCGTGCAGCGCGGCGGCGCGCAGCAGCGCCAGCACGCGCTGCGCGTGCGCGGGGGGCGCGCGCGGCCGCCCGCGCAGCACCTCGTCGCGCACCACGCGCACCAGCGAACACGCGCGTCCTCGCACGCACCACCTGCACGCACACACACGACGCACAAATCACGTACACGTATACGCACACGCAGCTTTACGTGCTCACACGCAACACTCAATATACCCTTTTGTTACGTCTATGTATACTATTAAACTGACAATTCAGAACAAAAACCGTGTCACAACTGTGAATGTCAAGGGTGCATAGCTAGCACAATTAATAAGCCACGCAGATGTATTTTCATTTACGACAGTCATTATTATTAGGCAAATAGCAAACAAATAACTTTGCCAAAGTGCATGCATAAATAATGACAGCGTTTCTCAAACGTTTTTTTTTTTAATAGAATACATACAAGTCTTTCCAATAACACAATGCGCTTTTTTACTATTGTAAGCCAGTGCTTGCCTATTATCCCACACATAAAGTAATATAAATGGCATAATTACATTCATTATAGCCCTTCACAAGTCTACTGCTGAACACAGACCTCCCCCAAGGAATGCCACAAAGTACGGTTCTGAGCCACCTACATCCATCGACTTCCTGCATGTCTTACCAGGTCGTCACTCTATCTAGTGGGGGGTCGCCCTACACTTCGCCTGCCGATACGAGATTCCCCACCGGTTAGCGGTTCTTCAAGCTATATGGCCGGCCCATTGCCACTTCAGCTTATTAATCCATTGGGCTATGTGGGTCACTCTGGTCCTCATTTCTAAGTTTATCACGCAGAGAAACCCCTCCATAGCTCACTGAGCGACCTTGAACTTCCTCATACGACCAGCAGTGAAGGACTACGTCTCAGTTCCAAAAGTTATCACTGACAACACGCACAGGTTGTATTGTCTCGTTTTCAAGTTTTGAGGTATACCTGACGAGAAGATGTGTCGTAATTCCGAACACTGCCCAGCCGAGTTGAATCCGTCGATTAACCACTCGGTCGAAGTTGGACTTACCTAGTCGGTATTTGATTTGTTCTAGGTAAACATACTCATCAACAACTTCGAGCTTAGTGCTCCCAACAACTACTAGCATAGGTGTGACATGGACATTTAACATGATCTTTGTTTTGTCCATGTTCATCTTAAGACCTATCTGTTGGGAGACACTATTCAGGTCATTGAGCATAGTGCTTACGTCCTCCAGCGATTCTGCCATAAGGACTATATCGATGGCAAATCGAAGGTGAGTGATGTACTCGCCATTGATGTTAATACCGTATCCTTTCCAGTCCAGTAGCTTGAAAACGTCTTCCAATGCCCGCTGAAGAGTTTCGGGGATATAACGTCACCCTGCCTTACACCTCTCTGCGGTTGGATAGGTTTCGTATTCTGGTTCTTTACTCGGATAGCCATCATAGCCCTGCTGTACAAACACTTCAGCACTTCGATATACCCACAGTCAACTGTGCAACAGTGCGCTGAAAGGACTGCAGCACCGCCCAAATTTCGACGGAATCAAAGGCTTTTTCACGGTCCACATACGCAAGACAGTGACAAATTGTACTCCTCGGTCTTCCGTACAATTTGCCGAACGCTAATTATGTGGTCAATGGTGCTAAAGCCTTTTCGGAAACCGGCTTGTTCGGGAGGCTGGAAGACGTCGAGTCTGCATGCGAGACGATTCGTAATGACTCTTGAAAATAGCACGTAGACGCGGCTCAGAAGGGAAATCGGTCTGTAGTTCTTCAAGAAAGCATTGTCGTCTTTCTTGAAAAACAAGACCATCGCACTTTTGCTCCACGCCTCCGGAGTAGTGCCACCATGGAGGACGGAATTAAAAAACTTCTAAAGTACTTCAAGTACCGGTTTTCCACCCGCTTTCAGAAGCTCCACTGTAATTCCATCCTCGCCTGGGGACTTGCCGTTTTTAAGGTGCTGTAGAGCCATTCTAATCTCGCTCAGACTGAGGTCTGGGATATCACACTCAAAATCTCAGGTGTCCCGGAAACGATGCTGCCACGTTCGGTCTTCAGCTTCGACAGTTGGCTCTTTCTGGCAGACAGGTCTCTGGTAAAGACTTTGGAGCCCTGGTTCCGCTCAATTGCTTCTTCAATACGATCAGTATTAAGTTGCGTAAGTCCCGCCGCATGTATTTGGAGATCTGTCTGTTCAGTGGCCTGTATGCTGTCAAATCTGCTGAAGACTGCAGCTTCATTTCTCTTCTAACACTCATGAGATTAAGAGTGTGATCGGAGAATTTTTGTGTTTTTCTGCTGTGGGTCTTGCAAAACATAGCTCCGACCGCACGAACAGAGTCCACGAGCTTTGTCATTGATATCGTCCACTGCATTGCAATATTCAAGGAACTGAAAACGGTTTTGTAACTCGAGCTGAAAGGTCGGAAAGGGGGACGGATCGTTGACTTCATTAGACGACACTTCTCCAACTTAACGTTTAGGTTCAGAGTGCCTCTATCCATTCGGCGATCGCTACCCAATGTCACCCTCGCGATCTCTCGTCTTGTAATAGCAACTAAAAAAAACTGCGGTTGTCATCCTGTCGGCCAAGTATGGGATTACTATGACAAATATCCTATAAGGCAATCTGTGTAAGTAGATTATGTTCACCAGTGATCTTCAGATATACAATAACGGAATTTCTGCAATAACACCCCGATTCTATTTTATTTTTAATTAAAAAGGATCAGGCATCATTTTATATAGTTGGTAAAACTGACTACTATTATCCTAAGATAAGAATCAACGCTATACTGCAAAACGAATTTACCTAAAAATAAAATTAATAATTTTAACTACTTACGGTGGTTCAAACATGAATGTCTCTAATACTGTGGGCAGTATCTCCCAGAACTCCTCGTACTCGTCGGGCTTCTCTCTCGCTAACGGTAAACCAGTGGCTAGTACCTATAAAAAATCATCCGTATATTAGAACATATACTCGAGATGGTTTGGTTTTTTATTTCCTTCTAGGAGTGCGTCTGCGATTATACTATCCAGCTATATACTATTTTTGCCGCTAAGCAATAGTGCATCCACCATTGTGTTTCGGTTTGAAAAGTAGGAAAGCCAGTATAATTTTACAAATTAGTTATTGGACTAGTAGGAACGAAAGCCCTTTTTTTTTACTAATAATGGTTAGTTTGCTACAGACCAATACAGATATAGACAATACTGAAATTGCCCAGGCCTTTATGTGCATCCTAAAAATTCATTGACATTTACCTTTAACGTCATAATACACCAAAACGTAGAAACACCAAAATTTGCCATATACCACAAAATAAAACAAAATTTAAGCAAAAAAAAAAAACACGCATTCTAATCTATTAAATTCAACAGCAGATTGAATATTTACCCTTTGACGTGTACTAAAGTTAAACGTGTAGGTAACACAATTTTTAAAACTAGATATCGAGGAAACTGAACAATTTATTACTTAACCTTTATATTTCTAACAGCGATACTAATTGTTAAAGTATTACATACATACCCACAAAACACACACACACACACACACACACACACACACACACACACACACACACACACACACACACACACACACACACACACACGCTCACACACACACACACACACACACACGCACACACGCTCGCGCACACGCACGCACGCACGTACGCACACACGCACGCACGTACGTACACACGCACGCACGCCCACGCACACACACGCACGCGCATGCCCGCTCTCACAAACGCACGCACATACGCACGCACGCACACACGCACTCACGCACATACGCACACAAGCACTCACGCACGCACACACGCACTCACGCATGCACGCTTGTCATTTATTACAATTATTAATATATTCCAAATTACTTTATTCCCTAATGTTAGCTTTTGCCTTTTATTTATTGATTAATATTAATATTGTATTGTCTTGGTAGATGAGCAGGGTACCCAGTAATACAGATTGCCAACTCAAGTACAAGTGTCCTTGCGATTGGCTTAAAATGCAACATTGTAAATTAATAAATCATATTTGATTTTCATTTTTTCACTTTAAATAAATTTACTTAGTGAAAGGTGATACGTTCTTCAGAATGAAGAAGGCGCCATATTGATTTCTGCAAGCATCTAAATATCGTAGGTCATAGGTCTGCAGGATATTTAGGCCATCCGTGCGACAGCAAAAGCTGCCACGCGGCAGCTTTTGCTGTCGCACGGATGGGCCGGCTCGAACCGGGGTGGTACCACGACCTCACAGAAAACCAGCGTGAAGTAGAGATTTACCTCTGCGTTTCGCTTGGTGAGTGCAGGTGGCCGGAGGCCCTTTTTACTGGAAATGAGGCATTCCATCTTAGTCCTCACGGGTGACAACGCATCTACATTTTGACTTGTAAGAGAGGATGTATGTAGATGTCTATGGGCCGCAGAAACCACTTACCATCAGGTGGACTGTGTGCTCGTTTGTCACCCTTGTCCTATAAAAAAAAAAAGGAGCGCGAAGTAATAATTTAAAATTAAAAATTTTGAACAACCGATTCAGTATAAATTTTTAAGAATAATTCAAAACTATTGGTCACAACTTGATCAAATTTATATGGGACCACATGAGAAGCACCAGCTTTCAAATAAAAAAAAAGAATCATCGAAATCGGTTCACCCAGAAAAAAGTTGAGGTAACACACATAAAAAAAACATACACTCGAATTGAGCACCCCCTCCTTTTTGAAGTCGGTAGAAAAAAACAAATAAGCGCTTCAATTAAATTTTAAGTGCTGATATGTCATGTGCTCGATGGTGAATGAAGTCATTGCGAGAAAAAATTAAAAAAAAACATTTAGATAACATGTGAAGTTTGCCGACACACATTTCGAAGTTCACCTCTCAAGAAAGAAAGAAAGAAGCTATAAACCCAACAGTGGGACGATTCGGGTAAAAAGAGTTTCGGGTTTCGGGTAAGAAGAGTGCATAAATGATTAAAATAATTTAGCATTACAAGTAACAAAAACCTACCTGTAGTAAGAGTGACGCGATTTGTGTTGTATCTTCAGCTTGTTCGCTGTTGCGGCGTCTTTTGTCCGATCCGGCCGCACCGGTTCCATATTTTTGAGCGGCTGAGTGTAACGCCTGTGTAAGAATTGATTTCACGATTATTTAAAATTTTAATTCAAATACACCAAAACATATAAAATATGCAAACTAACAGCATCACCAATTTATCTAGTTAATTATTTCTTCCTTGCCCCAACGTAGTCTCTCGCCTCAGGAAGGTTACCGTTTTTTCATAAGACAATGGTTGCCAACCGAGAGACAGAGACAATATTAGGGCATCCAATACGTTAGGCAGGACACGTGCACAACAATACCAAATCGCAAGAAAATCGATAAGGTCACCGTTACGTAGTGTGGGTTTTTGTACGTTGTAGAGCTATGGTGCAGCTATTTTAGTATTATAGTTGTAGCACGAATGTGTCGGCTCAACCGGGGAAGGACCACGCTCTCACGGAATAACAGCGTAAAACAGCAGCTTAACGCTGCTGCGTTTCGTATGGTGAGTGTAGAGAACCGGAGACCTTTTTTACTGGACACGTGGCATTCTATCTTAGTCCTCAAAGGTGACAACGCATTTTGATTCGTAGTTGAGGATGCATGTAGATGTCTACGGGTGTTTCATACAAACAAATGACCGCCGTGTGTGCCTCGGGCAGCACGAAAAGTGAAAGTACACATGATTTTCAATAGCAGTTCAGAGTAATTTATAAACGAGCATCTCTGTCATATTATAATTTATTTGTTATATCCCATACTACAGGCCGATTATTTTGCATTCCATATCGATGTTCATGTTCGCAATGCACGTTTTCTATGGATAAGAAAAATATTGTTTTAAGTTATTACACGATGCAGGTGGCTCAGGAGCATGCTTTGTGGCATGTATTTCGTACACGATTTTGAAGCTCCAAAATTGATACTTCTTGAAATAGTAAAATACCCAATTGAACCTCTATTTAAATGAATTTTCAAAATACTTTATATTTATAGAGGTAAAACAATTATAAATTTATCAACAGAAGAAAATGATGTTAGATTTTCTATTAATATGAAAGGCATGTTATTGCTTTAGATCCTTTATCAGCTTTATTTTTATTCAAATCCTTTATTTTCTTTTAATAAGCAAAATCGTTTGTCCACCGAAAGTAGCACGAAATTCGTGCTGGACAAACATGCACGCAGCGGAGAAGTGAACTTTAAAAGCTTTTTAAACGTTGGAGAGCCTCGCCTTAAGTGTTTGTAGCAGTCTTGAATGAGACATTAATTGGGGGCTTGGCGGGAACTTGACCGCTGGTGGATCGCTGCTTCTGTGTTGTCGTTTAAAAAACAGTTTGAAGTGTATTTTGACACGTTAAAGTGATGCTACTTTGTATACTAAGTGACTGAGCATGTGAATTATGAGTGTTAACGACGAAAAAAATGCTCCGATGTCGATATAAACCTTAAGTAATTTTGTCCACTTAGGTGCCATAAGAACTTAAGATATTGTAGACATCAACCGTCTGCTGGTTTAACATATTGTGGGGAATTTTTTGAACAAAATTATTTTGAAAGTTAATTTTCTATTATTTGACATTGGACACAAAAAGTACGACCGTAAGAGCAGCAGCAGGCGAGACATCGTACTGTTAGGAGAGCCGCTCTGAAGGTGTTTCATAAAAAAAAAAAAACTTACACCCAATTCCGAAAGTTCTCTTGATTTATTTTTCCAATATTAAAATTATACTAGGCATGTACAAAAACCGCGAATGGCGTGTGCACTATGTATTTAATTTTTGTTGAAGTTGCACTTGCATCAATAAGGGCATCCACCACTTTTCAGTGAGGTAAAATACTTGACAGATTTCATAGCGGGGACGATAATTTCTTAGGAAAATGTAATCTTTAAGGTTTCTTTCTGTATAATTAGTTATATTTTATATTAATTACATTAGAAATCAATTAACCAAACTATAAATATAACTAAAAGCCAATTTAAAAAAAAAAGAGTTATAAAGTGCAAAAAATTTAAAATCAAACCACTGACGCATTGTGTTGTGTATCAATATAATACTCTAGATAATGATAAACTATTATTTAAAACTAATTTCTCAATTAACTGGCACTGTGTAACAAAAAACTTTACCTCAGTCACAACTAGCGACATCTGGTGAGTGGAAGATTATTAGCCCTCATTACCTCAAAAACTACGCTTTTATACTAAATAAAATATTGAGGGTTAATAATCTTCCGTTTACCAGGTGTCGCTAGTAAACACTGAAGCGAAGTTTTTGTTACGCAATGTCATTTAACTCATCATCATCATCATCATCATTACAACCTTTCATAAGTTCACTGCTGAACATAGGCCTCCCCCAAGTTTTGCCACAAAGCACGGTTCTGAGCCACCTGCATCCATCGACTGTCTGCATGTCTTTACCAGGTTGTCACTCCATCTAGTGGGGGGCGGCTCTACACTTCGCCTCCCGGTATGAGACTGCCATTCGTGAACCTTTCTTCTCCATCTGTTGTTGGTCCTTCAAGTTATGTGGCCGGCCCATTGTGATTTCAGCTTACTCATCCCTTAGGCTATGTCGGTCATTCTGGTTCTACTGCGGATATCCTCATTCCTAAGTTTATCACGCAAAGAAACCCCAAGCATAGCCCTTTCCATAGTTCGCTGAGCGACCTTGAGCTTCCTCATATGGCCAGCAGTGAGAGACCACGTCTCAGATCCATAAGTCATCACTGGCAACACGCATTGTTTGTACAATTTCGTTTTCAGGTTTTGAGGTATACCTGACGAGATGTGTCGTAATTTCCCGAACGCTGTCATTTAATTACGCAATGTTATTTAATTGAGCGTCTGTAGACGCTTCGTTTTATTCGTATTTTGTAAAATACCAGTTGAATCGAGTGAGCGTCTATTCTAGTCGAAACGTCACTCTAGCGGAACGTCATATCGATGGTAGCGAGGTGGAATTGAGGGTATATCGAGAAACCCCCACTTATTGGTGTAGTATTAAGTTCACTGTAGGAGACGTGCGCGAGAGATTCCGCATGAGTCATTCTACGAGGGAAGTCATGCTAGGAGTACTAAGATTATTATTAATACAGTGTTGATAATTAAGACAGTGTTGTAGTTTTGTTCATTTTAGTAAATCTTCTGGTGCAGGCAAGGAGGATGATGTTGCTGAGAGGCTACCCTGTGTTACACCGAGATAAGTAGTGTTACTGTTGGTTTGCATACTTTGGTGTTATCATGTAATTATGTACTTACTACACGTTACACTAGTGTGAGGTCGTGGCGGGGACGTGTTATGTTGTGGTTGAACTGTAATTTCTCTATACTAAACGTAAAGGGCGTTACGCTGTCTTATTACTGATAATGATTAATTGCGTAAGCAAGAGAGCAAGTTGAACATCCGCTCTCACACTTACAATTTTTAACAATTAACGCTATCCTGAAGTACTTCAGAGATCAATCTGGATCTTCTGTTGAGTCTCCGACATATACATACACAATTACAATGCCTTAGTGGTTTGTTTTTTTAATTTCTTTGCACATTTTTAACTCTTTTTTATTTAATTTTTGTACTCTTATGAATATTTTTAGTATGATAGTCCTCATTGTGTCGGCGCTTTTAACTTACTAGGGTTGAACATAAGAATAGCTACCTGCAGCAGGCGAGGAAGCTGCGCGGCGCTGGGCGCGGGCGCGGCGCGGTACAGCGCGGCTGCGGCGGCCAGGCAGCGCGCTGCAGCCGCCGGACCGCGTTCCGAACGTTCCGAGCGCTCCGAGTGCTCCGCGCGCTCGCCGCACACCGCCGCCAGCGAGATCAGCGCCTCGAACTGCGGCGCCAGCAGCTCGTGCCGCGACAGCGCCTCCTGCACACTCAAATAATAAATATTCACAACACCTTGTTACAATCATTACAAACATTGTACAATTAAAGTCGAAGAATTTCACAGTTATATTATCCTATTAAATCATAGAAAAAAATCGAAGGGCAGCTATGCCGTGGACACAGCCGTATGATTTACGTGAATACGTGTACGTAACGAAACGACCACAAAATGGCGGCGCTCCCCCCTCTAACGCCCACGATTCGTCACAGTCCTCACACAACTTAACAAATTCTTTGATACTTTAGCTATCGAGAGTTGTAATTAAATTCCCAACGTAGACGATTTATAAATATGTAAGCTGCAACACCAAACTCGGTTTTGTTATCATAAATTTTCTGAGTTGCCTCCCACTATGATGTGTACTGGACAAATAAATATCGACCTCAAAGCAAACCAATGTGTTGCTGTTACATTTCCCAACGTACACGCCATAGAAAGTTCAAACAAAATAATATTGTTAATTTAGAGTTTATCCTGCGACATAATTAAAATTTATGTGCGATATATATTTCAAGTATATAGATAATATATAATATACAGATTTCAAGAATATAAATAACTGTTTGAAATTTTATTACACACTAAAATATTTGCGCTAAACAATACGCGATCGGATCACGTCTGTGTGTGTGTAGCCAACTGCATTTCAACTTGAAAATGAATCGAAAAAGAAATACTCTAGTGTGATCCATCTTGGGAGAAAATAGAGGAATGCATGGGTATGGACTAAACGCCGCCCGGAAATAGCATAAATATGATGGATAAACTTTAACTGAGTAGGCCAGTATGTTTTAAAAAGCATTACAATACTAATAATCTATAGTAGTGAGTAGTGACTGCACGCGAACGAAGTTAGAAGAATTGGAAATTAGGACATTTTTGTTTATAGTTTTTCTCTAAGAAACTATACATTTTAGGCGTACCAGTACCGTAGTGTGCTATTATTGGGCACAGCGTATGGACAGAACATTGATCCCAAAGAAATTTCGAATAATCCGGATGATATTAATTAGTAATTATAATTACCTAATTTGAAATCTGTTATAATTATAATTACGGAAATAAGGCAACTTTAGAGCAAAAATATAATGAAGTGGTAGGTGTGTGGTGGGTGGTGGTGGTGGTGGTGACCTTGTGCAGCGCATCGAGGCAGTGCAGCGCGTGCAGCGTGACGGGCGCGGCGGGCGCCAGCGAGCCGGCCGCCAGCGCGCTGGCCGGCTCCGCGCTGCACACCGCGCACAGGCACGCGCCCAGCCGCCGCACGTCGTCGCCGCTGAACCTGCACATAACAATAATATAATACATTCTCTTCCAGACCGAAGTCCGGTCACGGCGGCCAGCCTCAACAGAGACTAGCCATCAGCGCAAGACAGGATTATATTGCCCAAGTGTATGCGCAAGCACAGATGCACTCTCTATTCGTTCACTCTCATAATCCGATCAAACGTTAAACCGACACGACCGGAGAGAGATCAAGTTAGGAGGTTGGCAGTGAGACACCGCCAACTTTGTAACTCTGGGCAGCTACAGAGAATTTCTCGACGAAAGAACTCAATAACTGAGTTTTTGGACCAACCCGGGATACGAATCCAGGACACTAGACCAATCACGGTGCAATCACCTGAACCTGAGGCAGAACCTGAACAAGCCACAAGCATGTCACACTAACAATATACACTCAGTAATCGCGATTATATTGTCGGAAAAACCGACATTCGTCTAAAACAGGATTTCTCAACCAGTGGGGGTGCGCCACCTTAGGGACCTGAGAGACGTAGAGACGATAAAGGGGACGCAGCACGCTTTGTATTTTCCAAACAAATTAATGTAACGAAACTGAATCTAGAATCAACCAGTTGGTACAGAATATGCACATAACTCTTATAACCACTATTTTAGCGAAATCGATATATTTATTGACTCACGTTTGTGCTTAAAAAAATATATTATTAAGAATAAATTGCAAGTACAACAAAATAATGTCTATTAAAAAGAAAAAACCAACCACGAAGATTTTACTAAAAAAATTCATTGAAGTTTTTATGATTCATGCAAATATTTCTAAAAAGAAGCTACTAATTTGTTTCAATATCAGATTTAATGATTTGAATGAATGAGTTAGGTTAGGTAGGACTTGGCTGTATGGGCATAGTTCCCTTTGCCTACCCAGAATGGGCGAAGAAAACAAAAAATCTCTGCTTATATTCTTTTACGGTTGGTGCCATTTTCCAAAAATGTTCTTTATTCAATTGCTTCATTTTTTCGCAACTGTATTAAAAATAGTTGTTCAGTACACGTGCGGAATCGTCATTGCAACTTGTTCCGACTGTCAACCCTCACCTTCGACTGCGCCTCGGCTCGGGTAGACATTTGTCGAAACTCTTTGCAATGACAGGCTTTCCGCACTCGTAATGAAATATACTATCTTTGTAATATTAACTTATTTCTCTTCAACTAATTACTTACTGTTTGTTAATATTTGGTATACGGTGTTGAATACATACATTATATTCTTTTTTTTATAATACTTTTATAAATACTGTTACGAGCTTGGAGTTCGAGACAATTAAAAACTGCCGATTGAATTACCAAAATTGACACTTTAATTACACAACACTAATTACAATCTAAAACCACACTAATAATAAAACACAATCACTTTAGTTCGCAGTTATTTCGCTTCGAAGTATTCTCTTGTATCGCCAATTCAATACTGCCTTGGTCGTGGTCTATACCGGCTTTATATAGGGCCTCAGATAGTTTCCAGAACCTTCTACTGTAGCGACATCTAGAATTTTCGAGTACATATCGGTCCCGAAATTTCTGGAAGGATCTTGACTCTCCTAGTTCTGCTACTCGACACTAGAGGGCGCTAGTGTAACTAGTGTTGCCATGTACAAGACATTAATAGTGGAGCGCAACACTGCCCCCTCCTAAGACATGCTCGTCCCGAGCATTATTGGCCCCATAACGCGCCACGATCTTAGGAGTACCTCTGGCACCTTTCTGTATCTGGTAGGTTACGTCATTGATCCTTGTCACAATCCGGTACGGTCCGTTCCATTTAGCTTGAAGCTTAAGAGATTTCTCTTTGCTGCTATCCATTGTGCTAAAACCTTTTCTAAAACCAAATTGGCTCTTTGGTATAATGCCTCTATTTTCAAGAATCCACTCAAGTCGATTTTTTACGAGGTGCTCCATGATTTTAGACAAGGTTGATTAAATAGCAATAGGGCGATAACTTAATGCTGAAGAAGGGTCTTTACCATATATTAGAATGGGTATAATAATATGAGTTTTCCAATCATCAGGAATGGAACCGGTTGTAAAATCAAAGTTAATGATGTTTAAAAAGAACTGCTTACACTTAGTACCCATATAAACAAGAAATGAGTAGGGGATACCATCAATTCCAGGAGTGGAATCCTTTAGGTGCCTAAGTACTAACTGCAGTTCAGCTATTGAAAATGGTTTATTAAGGTTATTAAGAGAGTTAGATGAATGAGGAGGGAATAATTTAGAGTTAGGAAATATCTCTTCTTCCAATGGAACCCAGGGGGGAGCCAGTTTGTTACTGAAGTCGTCTAGCCAGTGGGAAGGGTCTGCACAAGCAGGATTACTATAATTTAAAGCACTACCGAAGCGCCTGATACTTTTCCAAACAAGAGAAAAAGGTGGTCGGGGAGATAGGCTCTCACAGAATGAAAGCTATCCTTTTTTTTCTTTTCGCAAAGAAGTTTTTTGGTTTGAGCAGCTATTTTTTGAAAATCTAGAAAATTTTCCATGGTCATATTAGAGCAATATAGCCTTTCTGCAGCCTTTCGTTTTCTAATAATTGAGGAACAGTCTGCATCCCACCATGGAGGTGAAGAAATTTTTTTTGTGGAGGAATTCTTCAAAGGGATAATTTTGCAGGCTATAATATTCAGAAAGGTTATAAATTGGGAGTAGACACTCTGAAGGTTCTAAAGAAACTGGGGGAAGGTTATTGATATGATTAAATTGATATGAGGAAATTACATCCCAATCAGCTTTAGACAGGTTGAATTTGAAAAGGGGAGATATAGTTCGAGTAGGGACACATCTATTACTTAGGTTTAAGAGGATGGGAAAGTGATCACTACCAAAAGAGGAAGGAAGAGTTTTCCATGATATGCTAGCAGCCAAGATTGGAGAGCACAATGACAAGTCTACTGCGGATCTAGTATTCTGCGAAGGGTAGGACATTCTGGAGGGAGAACCATCATTTAGAAGACAAAGATTAAATTCATTGGAGACATCAAGTAGCAAATAAGAAAAAGAGTCAGATTTATGGGAACCCCACATAACATGATAGCTGTTGAAGTATAGAGAGAACAATGTAAGGTGGGGACATGCTTTATAGGGTTAAATTGAGTTCTGGAATACAAGAAGGAGTGGGTGCTGGAATGTAGATGGATAGAATTGTGATGTCCAAAGCCTTGACAGCTACTGCATTAATATTGCCTAGTATAGGAGGAAGCTGGATAGGTGATAAAGGAATGGTCCTGTTTAGTGGAATCTTATATAATATTGAAGGATTATAAGAGTTAATTAAGTGAATTATATCAGGTTTGTTATTCCTGATGCTCCGACAATTCCACTGAAGGAGGGTTAGGGACTCGAACTTTATATATTCTGGAGAAGAGGACATCTAGTTTGTTTTTCACATTGAACGGTAAATGGGAATCATCAAATTTGCCAACAATATCTGTAAGGGAGGCCACAAGATTTTCTAGAAGATTGTCATTAGAGGATATTACATTGTTTTGTAGAGCATATCCATTGGGGAGAGATGAGGAAGGAGTACTTGTAATGTTATAATGTGAAACTTTATCATAACCTACTGAAGATTGCGCTGGAATAGATTTGGCTTTATAGTTGGTTTTCATATAGGATTGGGAAGGAGATGGAAAAGTAGGATGGTTTATAGGAGCCTGAGTAGAGGGGAGATGGCTTGCAGGAACTTGTGAGGATCCAACATCAGAATAAGGACAGCTGGGAAACGAGCAGAAGCCTCAAGGTATGACACATTCTCTTGCGACATTACTATCTTGATAACTTTTTGCCTTGAGTGATCAGGGCACCTTTTTTCATGGCCGAATGATTTGCAGAGCAGAAAAGACAGGTTGGGGAACCTGTGGGACAATTTTCTCCAGTATGGTCTTTGCTGCATTTAAAGCAGCGTGGTTTGGATCGACATTGAGCTTTGACATGACCGAAACGGCAGTATTTTAGACACTGGATGGTAGGGAGAAGGTAAGTCTCTACATGTATTGATGCATAAAAGCAGTATATATGGGAGAGGAGCACTTGTCCAGAGAAGGTTAGGACAACAGTTTGAGTAGGGACTCACTCTACTTCATCGCCCTTCTTGACCTTTCTATTAAGTCTTCTGGCTTTAATGATTCCCCCTCTGCCAGAAGGCAGCTCAGATTCACAAACTAATTCCTCCATAGAGATGTCAGTTGGGATACCCATACGAGTAACATTAAAAGTTGAAATGATAGGAAAAAGTTTATATTGTGAAAGAAACTGAGAGTCAATAAAATTATTAGCATCAGTAGCTGTTTTAAAAGCAATTGAAACTCTATTACGCCCTAAGATTTTAATGCCCTGTTTTTCAATATTGACTACTTTATTTTGTGAGAGGATATGGCCAATTTTCACAGGTCTAATTGTATAACCTGCTGATGGATCAGGTTCTGAGCGACTTAAGTAGAATAGAATAATTTTTTTATTCAATATAGATCACATGTGTAATTTTTATTAAAAGTCATTTTTTACTTTACCACTGGTTCGGAAAAAAATCCTCTGTCCTGGGAAAAACCAACAAGAAACCCAGCGCGACTTTTTTTTAAGCAAATTTTACAATAATGGTTGTAGAAACTATATAAGTACAAAATTTAATTTAGAAACAGCTTGGAAGCGATCACCTCATTCCCAGGGGTTATTATCAACCATGTATTCATTTATACTATAATAACCCTTTTTATACAGTTTCAACTTAACAAAACATTTAAACTTGCTAATAGAGAGAGCCTGTACACTTTCCGGAACCTTGTTGTAATAGCGTATACATTGCCCCAAGAATGAATTACTGACTCTGTGGAGTCGAGAAACTGGTATCAGTAGCTTGTGTTTGTTCCTAGTGTTTTCAGAATGTATATCACTTTTTTTTACTAAAACTAACTTTGTTTTTGTGAACATACATTAAATTTTCGTAAATATACTTAGAGGCCAAAGTTAATATATTTATTTCTTTAAATTTATCTCTAAGAGACTCTCCCGGTTTTAGGTTGTAAATAGCTCTAATGGCCCTCTTCTGTAAAACAAAAATAGTTTCTGAATCAGCCGCATTTCCCCATAGCAAAATCCCATAAGACATTATGCTATGGAAATAACTGAAATAAACTAATCTAGCTGTCTCGACACTAGTGAGACCTCTAATCTTTTTTACAGCATAGTCTGCTTGCTAGTTTGGATATATGGGGGCCCCACTGAAGCATTGCGTGATGCCAAGAAAAACAGTGGATTCAACAGGGCTCAGTTCTTTCCCATTTAAAAACACTTTGGTACTCAGATTTTTAACATTCGTTGTTGTAAATTTAATACATTTAGTTTTATTTCAGTTTAAATGTAGATTATTAACGTTAAACCAATGCACTAATTTTGATATAGGATTATTCACTTCGTCACATTTAAATGATTGACGTTTAAGTTTAAAAATCAAGGAAGTATCATCAGCATATAATACTATATCATGATTATCATCTAAGTGAATAACGAAGGGGCCTTTATGGCAATCTACATACTTTTTTTTTCTTGGAATTCAGGGTGGACGAATGTATTTTGATAGGAGGCCGAAGGGTGATCTTCGTGCCCTATTTTTTTCTTTGGGAAGCTGGGTAAAGGATCCGTAAGTTTACGTTTGACAGAGCTAGAATCACCGCATAAATCCGGTAGTTCAGCGTCTCCCCCGTCAACATCCATTATCGTCACAAAGATCTACATCAACTATCTAAACAAATAATACTCACCAACTAACAAACAGAACACACACAGACAACACAAAGAAGATTGAGAAAGTTTACGCAAATTTAAATAGAAAAAGAATTGATTCAACAACAAATAAAAAGGTAATTTTTTTGTCTGTATTTATCTATGTTATATTCTTACATTACGAAGGAAGCAAGGGAAAGAATATTTAATCCCCATTCCCTTTATCCGTATTACAAAAAACTGTCCTACAATTATCACCATTGACGAACTTCACATGTCTTCGAAATATATTTTTTTTCTCATTTCTCAGACATGCAGGGTTTCCACACGATTTTTTCCTTCACCGCCGAGCACTTGGCAAATCAGCACTTAAAATTGCCATTAACAATTTCATTTGTGCGTACTCTGAAAATTAAACTAATTGAGTACATAATAATCAATTGAAAGTGTAGTTCAATCCACCACAAGGTGTTATTTAATATTTATCCTCCTACAGGTCATTTCCTATAGAGACTTACTTTTTTTGACTTTGCAAATGTTTTTATCTTAAGGCTAGGTTTAAGGTTTTTTATTAATTTTACATATATTACTCGTTGAAGGCTTCAAACGATAAAAACTAGGAACAAGTACTATGGATTCTGCAATTTAATTGCCCATCTCTTAACGTATCTTTTTAATATAATTTTTAAAATAATTTAATTTTTACATTTGATTTTTTTATCAATGATGACTATAGCTGGAATAACACCCAAATGAAAAATATAAAATAATATAATATACAAAATCAGATAAACCCCCTGAGTGGTTCCTGTGTTTAAATCCCTGGTAATATGATAAAATTAGACCACTATTTGTTCTTAATTAAATTGAAGTGACAAACCAACTTGCAGTCCACCTGATGATAAGTGGCTACTGCAACCTATGGAAACCTGCAATTAACTTTAAATAAAGAAGGCTACAGAAACGTAGTCCTCATCCGAAAACTAAGACAGAACTAAGAATTCCTCACAGCCTCCAATATACAGGCTCTATAAGTCTATAACTATCAATATAATCTATAGACCAGAACACAGCTATGCAAGCACTGCTATTTCGCGGCAGAAATAAAAGAGAGGTAGCTACCCAGGCAGACTCCAAAGTAGAAAAAAAGTCCTACGATCTTGTTAAAGCAAAAGTATTAGCCCAAAATATAAAAATGGTGGTACCCATATTACGAGTATAATGTGTTCAAACTTTGTGAATTAGGTATTTGCAATGAAACCAGTCTTCAAACCTAAAAAATATTCGAAAACAGTTTTATATTTTTACTTACGTGGAGCGTATATGCTGGAATATCAAAGGGAATATTTGCACCAGCGTTGTGAGAAAGTTTTGTGAGGGCGCATACACCTCGGCGGGCTTTTCTTCATCTTGTACTGTAAGTTTAAAATAAAATTGAGCGTAATCTTTCGTTTTTTTTTTTAATTTAAAATCAGCATATTGCTATTTTCGTGTTTTCATCTATGAACTATTGATGGTAATGCACGATCGCTGTTCAAAGTTTACTTCTATCATAATTTCATATGAGTAGAAATTCGGAGCAAAAACTAATGAACAAAATTATGATTGTAATACGATTTTACGCGATAGAACCACGCTCTAGCTCAAATGGCGACTAAAGACTCGCACAGATTAGTAGCATAAAAATAGCTGTATAATGATGCCGTGTTTCAAAATGGCGAGAAAAGATAACCGAAGAACCTTTTTACTGGCAATGAGGCATTCCGTATTAATGCTTAAGGGTGACAATGCATCTGTATTTTATTTCTTAATCGAGAATAGATGTAGGTATTTATGGACCACAGCAACTACTTGCCAATTAGGAATTTAGTCAGTAATGCCAACATTTATAACAATTTAAGCAATATTTTTTTACTATTCTAAGCTAGTGCTTGACTAGTATCCCAACTGATGGTAAATGGGTGATGTAGCTGAAGATGGTAAAGCGCACTAACTTGACAAAACCTATTGTTACGAGCTTAGGGGTTCGAGACAACTAAAAACTGCCGATTGAATTACCAAAAATTGACACCTTAATTACAGAGCACTAATTACAACTTATGCCGTGTAGTGGCGGTCAAGAATATTCACTACCTCATATCTTCCTCAAAGGGAAACAGGCAGGAGATGGGCAGCAGCATCTTCCTGATAATAGCCAAAATTACAATAAAAAAACTGCGATTGCCAACCCGCTCGCCAAGCGTGGCAACTATGGCAAATACCCCCCTATAAAGAGAGTAACAAGGAGACGGCCCCCAGTCACCGGCGGCCCCGCTATTCCTGGCTACGGTGGCGACCATGGTAACGGCTGGGCAGGGGGTGCTAAGAATCTCCGGTGGAGGTTCGGTTGCCACCTTAGACGACTCGACCTGGCAACGTACAACGCACGCACCCTGAGGACTGACGAGAAGATCATGGAGCTGGAAGAAGAGATAGACAAGTTACGCTGGCATATTATAGGATTATCCGAAGTCCTAAGAGAGGGGGAGGACACGGTAATCCTCGAATCCGGCTTCTATCCGGCGAAGCGAAACTTGCTCTATCACCGGGAGGGCGACCATCTGTCCAAAGGAGGTGTCGGATTTATGGCCCACAGGTCTCTCGTTAACAACGTTTTAAAGATCGTGAGTGTGTCGACGAGGGTTGCGTACCTTATACTCAGAATCACCAAACGGTATTCGCTGAAGGTCATACAGGTTTACGCACAAACCTCGGTACACTCCGATGAGGAGGTGGAGGAAATGTATGAGGATATCTCTAGAGCCATGCATTCCTCCAAAACCCAATATACGGTGTTAATGGGAGACTTCAATGCAAAACTAGGCACAAGAGAGAACTGTGAGCTGAAAGTAGGGAAATTTGGAATAGGGCAATGGAACTCAAGGTGTCAGCAGCTGGCCGACTTCATGAAGAAAGAAGGACTCTTTATGATAAACTCTTTCTTCCAGAAGCGGCCCCACAGGAAGTGGACCTGGTCGAGCCCCGACGGTTCGACAAAAATGAGACTGACTTGATTATGACGACCAGACGACAACTGTTCAGTGATGTCTCCGTGATCGCGAGGGTGAAAACTGGTAACGATCACCGAATGGTTAGAGGCACACTGAACCTAAACGTTAAGTTTGAGAGGTCTCGTCTAATGAAGTCAACGCTCCGTTCCCCTCGTGCTCTAATCCAAAGTCCCGAAAATTTTCAGCTCGAATTACAAAACCGTTTTCAGTGCCTAGAAGACTGCAATGAAGTGGACGATATGAATGACAAGCTCGTGGAAACTGTCCATGCGATCGGAGCTAAGTTCTACAAGACCCGCCGCAGAAGAACACAAAAACTCTCCGATCACACTCTTAATCGCATGGCTGTTAGACAGGAGATGAAGCTACATTCTTCAACATATTTGACAGCATACAGGCAACTGAACAGACAGATCTCCAAATGCATGCGGCGGGACTTACGCAACTTCAATACAGCTTGTATTGAAGAAGCGATCGAGCGGAACCAAGGCTCCAAAGTCTTTGCCAGAGATCTGTCTGCCAGAAGAAAAGGAAAGGGCTTTAGCACCATAGACCACATACATACCCTTCGGCAAGTTGTACAGAAGTCCGAGGAGTACAATTTGCCACTATGCTTGGCGTATGTGGACTATGAGAAAGCCTTTGATTCCGTCGAAATTTGGGCGGTGCTGCAGTCCCTTCAGCGGTGCCAAGTTGACTGTCGGTATATCGAAGTGCTGAAGTGCTTGTACAGTAGGGATACGATGGCTATCCGAGTACAGAACATGAGTACGAAACCTATCCAATTGCAGAGAGGTGTAAGATAGGGTGACGTTATATCCCCGAAACTCTTCACCGCTGCATTGGAAGACGTTTTCAAGCTTCTGGACTGGAAAGGATACGGTATTAACATCAATGGCGAGTACATCACTCACCTTCGATTTGCCGACAATATAGTACTCATGGCAAAATCGCTGGAGGACCTAAGCACTATGCTCAATGATCTCAATAGTGTCTCCCAACGGATAGGTCTTAAGATGAACATGGACAAAACAAAGATTATGTTTAATGTCCATGTCACACCTATGCCGGTAGTTGTTGGGAGCACTAAGCTCGAAGTTGTTGACGAGTATGTTTACCTGGGAGAAATAGTCCGACTAGGTAAGTCCAACTTCGACCGAGAGGTCAATCGACGGATTCAACTCGGCTGGGCAGCGTTCGGGAAGCTACGACACATCTTCTCGTCAGACATACCTCAAAACCTTAAAACGAAATTGTACAACCAGTGCGTGTTGCCAGTGATGACTTACGGATCTGAGATGTGGTCCTTCACTGCTGGCCGTATGAGGAAGCTCAAGGTCGCTTAGCGAGCTATGGAGAGGGCTATGCTCGGAGATTCTCTGCGTGATAAATTTAAGAATGAGGATATCCGCAGTAAAACCAGAGTAACCGACATAGCCCAACGGATTAGTAAGCTGAAGTGGCAGTGGGCCGGCCATATAGCTCGAAGAACCGACAGCCGATGGGGAAGAAAGGTTCTTGAGTGGCAGCCTCGTATCGGTAGGCGAAGTGTAGGGCGACCCCCCACGAGATGAAGTGACCTGGTAAGACATGCAGGAAGCCGATGGATGGAGGTGGCTCAGGACAGTGCTTTGTGGCATTCTTTGCAGGAGGCCTATGTTCAGCAGTGGACTTATGAAAGGCTGTAATGATGATGATGATGATGAATTACAACTTAAACCACACTAATAATAAAACACAATTTTACTATTGATCACTAGTTCGCCGTTGTATCGTTACAAAGTATTTGCTTATATCGCCAATTCAATACTGACTCGGTCGTTGTCTATACCGGTCTTATATAGGGCATCAGACAGTTTCCAGAACCTTCTACTGTAGAAACATTTCGAATGTTCGAGTACATATCGGTTCCGAAATTTCTAGAAGGATCTTTGATTCTCCTAGTTCTGCTACTCGATACTAGAGGGCACTAGTGGTAGCTAGTGTTGCCATGTACAAGACATTAATAGTGGCGCGCAACACTATTATTCACTCTTGCCTTGAAGACATATTGTAATCCGATGTAAAGACAGATGCTGGCAACTTAGTCCACGCAACAATGAACAACATCACGACCAGGCTGTCGCAAAGACTTCAAATATGAAGCGCATTCTACGCATTGACGGCTACGTGACGGGGGGCTTAGCAGTGAGTTGCAGCGCTAAGGGCCGCGGGTTCGAATTCCGTACGGAAAAAGTATTTGTATGGCCTATAAATAAATAATTGTTCCATCCAGTTCTGAATGTCTATCCTTGTTAAATTTATGGATGTAACGAAACAGGTGAAAGTCCTAGTGTGGAGGTAACGTTTTTTAGAAAACAAAAGAATTCCGTTACGACATTTACTATTTTTGGACAAATACGAAATAAAGTTATATACTTATTTGAAAAAAATTCAAATCACGTTGATAAAGTGCGCACAAGAATAATGACAGCATTATTTAGACAAAAAAATCTGTGTTAGTTTGTCGAAAACTCCCACATTATTAGTGGTAGAGCCACGTGGCAGCTTTTGCTGTCGCACCGGATGGGCCGGCTAGAACTGGGGTTGTACCACGACCTCACAGAATACCAGGGTGAAGTAGAGGTTTACCTCTGCGTTCCGCTTGGTGAGTGCAGGTGGCTGGAGGCCCAATCCCCCCCACCCCATCAACATGGTAGCGGAATTAAACAAAAGACTACCCCAGGAGAGTACCAGCATCTCTGGAGAATCCCTCGCTGGGTATTCACGACCAAACTACTCCACTCCTGAGCGTGGGCTCAGGCTGCCCCGCGTATTCTAAGGGGGGCAAAATTCAGCTTGCAACTAATACTGCTCAGGGCAAGCGGAGCAATAAGACCAAGGCGACCCCTGTCACGCTATACGTGAATTTTTGTAACATCAGGGGACTTCATTCCAACCTTAACGCTGTCCATTACCATCTAGAAACGGCGAAGCCGGCCTTGCTCTTTTTAACCGAGACTCAGGTGTCCTCTCCGGTTGATACTTCATATCTCTCCTACCCGGGTACAAATTTGAACACTCCTTTGTGCCCCGAGCTGGAGTTTGCGTATACGTCAGAGAGGACATCTGTTTTCGACGCCTCGGCAGTCTTGAAGGTTTGGACCTGTCCATCCTATGGCTGCGCGTAGACAGCGACGACCATCCCCACGTCTACGGGTGCCTGTATATGTCCGCCGTAATGCCGATACAGACCGACTCATCGAGCACGTCCAAATGGCTGAAGACTCCGTGCTACAATAGGTCCCATCCGCAGAGATCGTAATACTCGGTGATTTTAACGACCTCCACTCTGAATGGCTTGGTTTCCGTTTAACCGATCATGCGGGTAGATCTGTGTATGAATTTTCCTTGGCATATGATCTAACACAACTGGTTACTTCGCCTACGCGGATCCCACATGTGGAGGATCATGTACCTTCCCTGTTGGACCTTCTGCTGACCTCTCATCCGGACGGATAACAGGTCTCCGTCGATGCCCCTCTGGGCTCTTCGGATCATTGTCTGATCCGGAGTACGGTGCCACTCACGCTCCCATCGCAGTTGCGATCTGCAGCTTGCCGCCGTGTTTGGCACTATAGGTCGGCCGATTGGGACGGGATGCGGTCTTTTTTTGAATCCTATTTGAGGGCGGGTATGCTTCTCGCCCGAAGATCCCAGCGTTGTTGCCGATTCTGTTACCGATGTGGTACTTCAGGGTATAGAACTTTTTATTCCATCCTCTGTGGTGCCGTGTCGCTCCTGTGAAATAGCATCACACTATATGCAGGAGTGCTACCGGGCCTGAGCTGACGCATCAACGTCCTGGGATGTAAACACCAGCGCTCTTAAAAAGAAGTATAATTCCGCTTCCAGGTCCTTGCAAAGTGTCATTGCCAAGGCAAAGTCAGAGCACATCGGCAGAATTGGCGAAAAACTAGTTCGCCTAGTTGCATCTTTTTGCGTATTTTATCGCATCTATCACGGGGAGTGCTCTGAGGAATTGTTCGGACTAACTCCGGCCGCTTAATTTCACCATCGCACATCGCGAACAAACTCGCGTTACCATCCATATCATCTGGATGATTGGCGGTCCACCACTGTGCGATTTAGAAGAAGTTTTCTCCCTCGCACAACTTCCTTGTGGAATCAATTACCACCAGCGATTTTTCCGGACCGATATGATTTAGGGACCTTCAAGAAAAGAGCCTACTCCTATTTAAAAGGCAAAGGAATTGCAGTTGTTAATGGGCGGCGGAAGTCACTTAGGGCATGGGGCAAATGAGCCGCATGCTCGTTTGCCCCCTCTCCTATAAAAAAAAACAGACGACTATAGAAGTTTTTTTTTGTAGAATTAGGGTCAAATACGAGCACACAGTCCACCTTTTGGTAAGTTGATGCTGTAGCCCATAGACATCTACATCTGTCCTCAATTAAGAATCACAATGCAGATATTGTCAGCCTAGAGAACTAAGATGGAATGTTTTTTTTTTATAGGATAGGGTGACAAACGAGCACACAGTCCACCTGATGGTAAGTGGTTGCTGTGGCCCATAGACATCTACATTTATCCTCGTTTGCGAATCAAAATGCAGATCCGTTGTGACCCGTGAGGACTAAGATGGAATGCCTCGTTTCCACTAAAAACGGTCTCCAGTTCTCTAAACTCAACATACGAAACATAGCAGTATGAAACTGCTGTTTTACGCTGGTATTCTGTGAGAGTGTGGTCCGACCCCGGTCGAGCTGAGCCATTCTTGTTACAACCATAATATAGCTGCAGCGAGGTTCTATGTATGTGGTAGAAACCACATACATAGAAGTGTTTAAGGCGACGATGAGCTCTCGCAGAGTTGGCACTGACCTGCGCGCGGGTCGGGCACGCCGCGCGCGATGTCGCTCCAGGCGCCCCAGGCGGCCGCCCACACGCTCGCCTCGCACTCTGCGCGCCCCGCAGCTGACACCACCTCCTGGAAGGACTTCAGCGCTGCTAGAGACACCTGCGATGAGCTCTCGCAGAGTTGGCACTGACCTGCGCGCGGGTCGGGCACGCCGCGCGCGATGTCGCTCCAGGCGCCCCAGGCGGCCGCCCACACGCTCGCCTCGCACTCTGCGCGCCCCGCAGCTGACACCACCTCCTGGAAGGACTTCAGCGCTGCTAGAGACACCTGCGATGAGCTCTCGCAGAGTTGGCACTGACCTGCGCGCGGGTCGGGCACGCCGCGCGCGATGTCGCTCCAGGCGCCCCAGGCGGCCGCCCACACGCTCGCCTCGCACTCTGCGCGCCCCGCAGCTGACACCACCTCCTGGAAGGACTTCAGCGCTGCTAGAGACACCTGCGATGAGCTCTCGCAGAGTTGGCACTGACCTGCGCGCGGGTCGGGCACGCCGCGCGCGATGTCGCTCCAGGCGCCCCAGGCGGCCGCCCACACGCTCGCCTCGCACTCTGCGCGCCCCGCAGCTGACACCACCTCCTGGAAGGACTTCAGCGCTGCTAGAGACACCTGCGATGAGCTCTCGCAGAGTTGGCACTGACCTGCGCGCGGGTCGGGCACGCCGCGCGCGATGTCGCTCCAGGCGCCCCAGGCGGCCGCCCACACGCTCGCCTCGCACTCTGCGCGCCCCGCAGCTGACACCACCTCCTGGAAGGACTTCAGCGCTGCTAGAGACACCTGCGATGAGCTCTCGCAGAGTTGGCACTGACCTGCGCGCGGGTCGGGCACGCCGCGCGCGATGTCGCTCCAGGCGCCCCAGGCGGCCGCCCACACGCTCGCCTCGCACTCTGCGCGCCCCGCAGCTGACACCACCTCCTGGAAGGACTTCAGCGCTGCTAGAGACACCTGCAAAAATAAAACTTTTACTTGCCATATTATATAAAAACTGGCAAACTGCCCTAGCTTTGCCTGAGTATCTGTTAACGTTGTGTCATATAGATTTATGATATTTTAAAAATTTATCGATTTCTCAATAAAAAAAAAACAATCAAGTTTTTAGAATAATAGATAGCCTATGTTACTCTTGGCATTGCTTTCTATCTATTTGTCAAGTTTCATTACAATCGGTTTTACCATTTTAAAGCTAACTCGAACAGAAAACAGACAAAAACTCTTAAATACTTAGTTTTTCACATGCACAATTCAACTGTTTGACATAGGCCACCCCCACCCAAGGAATGCCACAAAGCACAATCCTGAGCCACCTGCATCCATCAACTTCCTGCATATCTTACCAGATCGTCACTACATCAAGTGGAGGGACGCCCTATACTTCGTCCGCCGGTACGAGGCCGCCAATCGAGAACCTTTTTTCCCCATCGATTGTCGGTTCTTAGTGCTATGTGACCGGCCCGTTGCTACTTCAGCTTACTAACCCATTGGGCTATGTCGGTCACTCTGCTTCTACAGATATATCCATACTCATTTCTATATTTATCACGTCGAGAAACTCCGAGCATAGCCCTTTCCATAGCTCGCTGAGCGACCTTGAGCTTCTTCATCCGGCCAGCAGAGCAAAGATCACGTCTCAGTTCCATATGTCATCAAGGACATGGACGTTATACATGATTTTTGTTTTGTTCATGTTCATTTTAAGACCTGTCCATTGGGAGGCACGATTGAGGTCATTGAGCATAGTGCTGAAGTCCTCCAGCGATTCTACCATAAGGACATTTGTCGTAAAACGACAATTAAAAACAAAAGAAACCTAACCTAACAACAACGAAACAACAAAAATAGAACAAAGAATAATTTATTTAAAATTTAAAAAGATATTTACAGTTTTATATAAAAAAAATGAAGTATGATGATGATGATGGGTGACGTGAATTACAAGTATTTTAAAAAAGATAATAAAGATAAATGAGTACTGAAGCGGAGCCCGAAGACCAAAGTGGCACACCGCGCTTGGCGGTGGTGCACACTGCTCACGGAGTACAATCAGGCTGTGCCTGTGGTAGGTGCGCAGCGCCTGGTCTAGGCACACGCAACGCCTGGAGTAGGCACACGCAGCGCCCGGAGGAGGCGCGCACAGCGGCTAAAGATAGCGCGGGCACTTGTAGGTGGAGGCGTGGGTGTGGCTAGGCGACGACTTCAGGTGAAGGCAGAGGCGTGCGGCCCCGGGATAAGGCCTTTAGGAGATGCTTCACGTTTGAAAGCTGAAGCGAGACTGAGTTTATTGGCCGATTGTTCGGCTTTTATACCTTTTTAGAGAGTTCCGCGCTCGACGGGAAATTTAAATTAAAAGCAAATTTTTGTAAATGGCCAAGAAGAAAAGAGTATTTTTGTGGAAGTATTGAAATAAAAACATCAGACCGGTAACGAATTCGAATAAAAATTGCCATGACAACCAGATAAACAACGATGTCAAAACATGTCAAGATTTGATTTCAGGCTCGTAATAGAGAAACGGCAAGATTTAAGTGAAAAATGAGATATTATTGATATAGGAAAAAAAGTAGCGCACCAGCGCGCACGAAGCCCGAAATTGCAGAGTTACGGAGAACTAAATAAAAGATCGAAAAAGGTAGACTCCATCGACACCGATTTAAAAAGTGCTGATAGCGTGAAAATACGAAGTGAAAATGATTTGTTATTGTGTTCTTATGGTTTAAAAACGTTACAGGATTCTATAGAAATAAAGGTGATACAAAATATCCAGTTTTGAGGTGAATGTAGAAAATCAAAACAGAATGGAAAAATGAATTTAAAATAGTGTAAAATGATATGTAAGTAGCACTACACATTATCGTCGGCAAATTTAAGGTGAGTGATGTACTCATCGTTGGTGTTAATACCGTATCCTTTCCAGTCCAATTCCTTGAAAACATCTTCCAATTCAGCGGTGAAGAGTTTCGGGGATCTAACGTCACCCTGTCTTACACCTTTATGCAGTTGGATAGGTTTCGTACTCTAGTTCTGTACTCGGTTAGCTATTGTAGCTCTACTGTACAAACACTTCAGCACTTCGATATACCGACAGTCAACTTGGCACCGCTGAAGGGACTGCAGCACCACCCAAATTTCGCACAAAATCAAACTCATGTCTTACGGCATGCAAATAACCCACAAGTTCAAGTTCAGTTATTTCGATATTACAGAAAGACACCTCAATTTTATTTGTATGTATAGATAACAAGTTTAGCGTTAGTTAATGTGTTCAGTAATAAACCGCAACTCACAAAATTTATACCGAGGCACAATGATCTGCTGCGATCGGAGCGCCGGTTACACCTAGTGGCAACATTGCGACGTAATATGCGTTGTAATAATCTATGGAGTTAAAAAGAAAAGAGGAGGGTAGGAGGCGAGACAAGCCATACACATTCTCTTTGAGTTCGTGATGTGAATATCTCTCCAAAAACTTTAAAAAGGGACTACTCCAGAGTGTACCGTGTACAATCTAATTGCTAGTGTATTCTACCGTGTAGAAGAAGCTACCAGGAGCTGTCAACGTTTGCTGATCTTGGGAGGCTGTCTAGTAAGACCGTGAGTAGTTTGTTGCTGTTTTTGGTGTGATTTTGTGGCTGCGGTAACTGAACGTTTCAGGGGATTTAGAATCTCAATACAGTCCACTATATCTAATAAAATAATCCCAATCCGCCACATAATGTCTGTACATAACTTTAATGTGCGTGATGCGTATGTCCATTTCATTCCCCGTGTTCATCTTCTTAAATGTCTTAAGCTAATGACTGGTGTCTCTTTGAACGTCCTCGTATGTCTCCTCACATCTATGCTCAGAAGTGGATTGTTAATGGGCTGCTGAAAAAAGGAAATGTTACACTAACTTAAGAGTTTATTTTTTTAATTAAAAAAAAAACATATTTACCTCATGACTTTTATGTAGTGCAAAATCCGTGATGTAGTGAAGTAGCGCCGTCCAGGAGCGGTTGAAATCACCAACGGTCATCAGCAGTTGAAAACGCGAGTGGAAGACGCGCGATACGCCTGACAGTGTCAGAACCTGTCAACGTGACATTTGACGATATAATATCCACTGTCATGCAATTTCAGTAATACAGTTGGATTTTGTTATTGTAATGGAGTACATTTAGATACATTTAAGTAGTGTGATTTTGTGTATTACATGTCTGCGAGTATTAAACTGTTGGCTAAATTGAAGGAAAAAGTTCTCCGACAGCATAAATTACCTTGGAGTTAATCTGTATCCAATGGTGATATAAGCCTCATTAGTTGCATCCGCTTTGGTGCCTTGATATACTATTGTTATCATTTGTCCGTTAAGTTAACTGTCACTAAATTCTTCCAATAACAATGCATATGACGCATTACAATATTATTGTAAGTATTTTGTGTCAGACTAGGTTGTATGGACGTAGTTGCCTTTGCCTTTAAACCATTATAAATAAATCTCTTATTTTAAATTTATTTAATATGTCCTGCTATAAGACGTATCTCTTATTTCACGTATTTTTGCAAAAGTAATATTTGATAGGAGCGTTAGTATTTTAATGATAATTTATCTTCATTGAGCAATTCAACTTTGTAATTAACAATTTCGAACTTAAAAATTAAATGTTAGTGTAAAAGTGTGGTTTCTTTTTACCTGTGTCTCAGCCCACTGCTTCTGAGCAGTATTTCTGGTGTGATGTATAAGAATGTGCTCTCCGGTATCCACTTTCTCCGAGCTCGCAATGTTCGATTGTTTTTGGACCTGTACAACATAAAATTGAGATTGTTACAAGAATATTTAGAATTGACATAAATTATCAATCATGACAATCAAAATTTGTTTAGTTAAAGTATAAATGGTATCCAACTCATTATCCGTCAATAATGACAAACCTGAAGATCACACGGTTTATAACAGATCGACTGATGTCGAGCTATACCTGAATGACCGCGTTAGGCAACCGAGAAAGACAACTGCAGCTCGGGCTTATTATACCTTTAAAAAACAACTACTAATAACTAGGCAACACTAGTTACACTAGCGCCCTCTAGTGTCGAGTAGCGGAACTAGGAGAGTCAAGATCCTTCCAGAACATTCTAGATGTCGCTACAGTAGAATGTTCTGGAAACTATCTGAGGCCCTACATAAGGCCGGTCTACACCACGACCGAGGCAGTATTGCATTGGCGATACAAGAGAATACTTCGAAGCGAAACAACTGCGAACTAAAGTGATTGTGTTTTATTATTAGTGTGGTTTTAGATTGTAATTAGTGTTGTGTAATTAAAGTGTCAATATTGGTAATTCAATCGGCAGTTTTTAATTGTCTCGAACCCCAAGCTCATAACAATACGTTGCTTCGTCCCAAATTTTAAGATTCTGAGTTCACGGGAAGTACCCTGTAGGTTTTGATTCCCTTGCGAATATCGAAAATTTGCGGCATAAACGGTTATATCTTTTAATTGCGTTGGCTTAGAAGTTTGATTTTTTCACAGCTCCAAGGGACAGAGTATTTGATATGAATTTCAGCTTAATACTTCCATGTGTTCCTGAGAAAAAGGGACAGACAGACAGACAGACGGACAACAAAGTGATCCTATAAGGACTCCGGTTTTTTCTTTTGAGGTACGGAACCCTAAAAATTTAAACAATTTTCATCTCGTATTCTCCTTGTTCCTTCTTCAAAATTAGACCCATTATAATTTTTTTTATGAACCACAAATTAAGAAGAATTATGCCTTTTTGTGAATGTATTGTTAAACAGACGATATATTCATAGTAATGTGTATGCACTAAGTGTATAATAAGTAAATATTATATATATTTGTATATTTATAGGTTACATTTGTATAGTTTATTTATTGGTAAAATGTATATATTACGTAGTTAATAATCATTTTTATCGTGTAGTGACGATGTAAGACTATCCACTACTCCATATTATACCGTGAGTGTCGGAAGAGGCAACAGAGGGAAACAAATCAGAAGATGGGCAGCAGCGTCTTTCTAATAACGATTAAAAATGAATAAAACTGCGGTTATATCTCTGTGATGGAATCTATGGCGGAGGCCAATGTTCAACAGTGGTCTTTTATTGTATGTAACGGATGGTTGTATCTAACGGATATGTGGAATGTCGCGCACCTCGTCCAGCATGGGGAAGAGCACGTTGAGCAGCGCGCGCCAGGCGGGCGGCGACAGCAGCGAGCCGTGCGCGCCCACGCAGCTGAACAGCGTCTGGCTCGATGGATGTACTGGATGTACTGGATGTAACGGATGTATGGAATGTCGCGCACCTCGTCCAGCATGGGGAAGAGCACGTTGAGCAGCGCGCGCCAGGCGGGCGGCGACAGCAGCGAGCCGTGCGCGCCCACGCAGCTGAACAGCGTCTGGCTCGATGGATGTACTGGATGTACTGGATGTAACGGATGTATGGAATGTCGCGCACCTCGTCCAGCATGGGGAAGAGCACGTTGAGCAGCGCGCGCCAGGCGGGCGGCGACAGCAGCGAGCCGTGCGCGCCCACGCAGCTGAACAGCGTCTGGCTCGATGGATGTACTGGATGTACTGGATGTAACGGATGTATGGAATGTCGCGCACCTCGTCCAGCATGGGGAAGAGCACGTTGAGCAGCGCGCGCCAGGCGGGCGGCGACAGCAGCGAGCCGTGCGCGCCCACGCAGCTGAACAGCGTCTGGCTCGATGGATGTACTGGATGTAACGGATGTATGGAATGTCGCGCACCTCGTCCAGCATGGGGAAGAGCACGTTGAGCAGCGCGCGCCAGGCGGGCGGCGACAGCAGCGAGCCGTGCGCGCCCACGCAGCTGAACAGCGTCTGGCTCGATGGATGTACTGGATGTAACGGATGTATGGAATGTCGCGCACCTCGTCCAGCATGGGGAAGAGCACGTTGAGCAGCGCGCGCCAGGCGGGCGGCGACAGCAGCGAGCCGTGCGCGCCCACGCAGCTGAACAGCGTCTGGCTCGATGGATGTACTGGATGTACTGGATGTAACGGATGTATGGAATGTCGCGCACCTCGTCCAGCATGGGGAAGAGCACGTTGAGCAGCGCGCGCCAGGCGGGCGGCGACAGCAGCGAGCCGTGCGCGCCCACGCAGCTGAACAGCGTCTGGCTCGATGGATGTACTGGATGTACTGGATGTAACGGATGTATGGAATGTCGCGCACCTCGTCCAGCATGGGGAAGAGCACGTTGAGCAGCGCGCGCCAGGCGGGCGGCGACAGCAGCGAGCCGTGCGCGCCCACGCAGCTGAACAGCGTCTGGCTCGATGGATGTACTGGATGTAACGGATGTATGGAATGTCGCGCACCTCGTCCAGCATGGGGAAGAGCACGTTGAGCAGCGCGCGCCAGGCGGGCGGCGACAGCAGCGAGCCGTGCGCGCCCACGCAGCTGAACAGCGTCTGGCTCGATGGATGTACTGGATGTAACGGATGTATGGAATGTCGCGCACCTCGTCCAGCATGGGGAAGAGCACGTTGAGCAGCGCGCGCCAGGCGGGCGGCGACAGCAGCGAGCCGTGCGCGCCCACGCAGCTGAACAGCGTCTGGCTCGATGGATGTACTGGATGTACTGGATGTAACGGATGTATGGAATGTCGCGCACCTCGTCCAGCATGGGGAAGAGCACGTTGAGCAGCGCGCGCCAGGCGGGCGGCGACAGCAGCGAGCCGTGCGCGCCCACGCAGCTGAACAGCGTCTGGCTCGATGGATGTACTGGATGTACTGGATGTAACGGATGTATGGAATGTCGCGCACCTCGTCCAGCATGGGGAAGAGCACGTTGAGCAGCGCGCGCCAGGCGGGCGGCGACAGCAGCGAGCCGTGCGCGCCCACGCAGCTGAACAGCGTCTGGCTCGATGGATGTACTGGATGTACTGGATGTAACGGATGTATGGAATGTCGCGCACCTCGTCCAGCATGGGGAAGAGCACGTTGAGCAGCGCGCGCCAGGCGGGCGGCGACAGCAGCGAGCCGTGCGCGCCCACGCAGCTGAACAGCGTCTGGCTCGATGGATGTACTGGATGTAACGGATGTATGGAATGTCGCGCACCTCGTCCAGCATGGGGAAGAGCACGTTGAGCAGCGCGCGCCAGGCGGGCGGCGACAGCAGCGAGCCGTGCGCGCCCACGCAGCTGAACAGCGTCTGGCTCGATGGATGTACTGGATGTACTGGATGTAACGGATGTATGGAATGTCGAGCACCTCGTCCAGCATGGGGAAGAGCACGTTGAGCAGCGCGCGCCAGGCGGGCGGCGACAGCAGCGAGCCGTGCGCGCCCACGCAGCTGAACAGCGTCTGGCTCGATGGATGTACTGGATGTACTGGATGTAACGGATGTATGGAATGTCGCGCACCTCGTCCAGCATGGGGAAGAGCACGTTGAGCAGCGCGCGCCAGGCGGGCGGCGACAGCAGCGAGCCGTGCGCGCCCACGCAGCTGAACAGCGTCTGGCTCGATGGATGTACTGGATGTACTGGATGTAACGGATGTATGGAATGTCGCGCACCTCGTCCAGCATGGGGAAGAGCACGTTGAGCAGCGCGCGCCAGGCGGGCGGCGACAGCAGCGAGCCGTGCGCGCCCACGCAGCTGAACAGCGTCTGGCTCGATGGATGTACTGGATGTACTGGATGTAACGGATGTATGGAATGTCGCGCACCTCGTCCAGCATGGGGAAGAGCACGTTGAGCAGCGCGCGCCAGGCGGGCGGCGACAGCAGCGAGCCGTGCGCGCCCACGCAGCTGAACAGCGTCTGGCTCGATGGATGTACTGGATGTACTGGATGTAACGGATGTATGGAATGTCGCGCACCTCGTCCAGCATGGGGAAGAGCACGTTGAGCAGCGCGCGCCAGGCGGGCGGCGACAGCAGCGAGCCGTGCGCGCCCACGCAGCTGAACAGCGTCTGGCTCGATGGATGTACTGGATGTACTGGATGTACTGGATGTAACGGATGTATGGAATGTCGCGCACCTCGTCCAGCATGGGGAAGAGCACGTTGAGCAGCGCGCGCCAGGCGGGCGGCGACAGCAGCGAGCCGTGCGCGCCCACGCAGCTGAACAGCGTCTGGCTCGATGGATGTACTGGATGTACTGGATGTAACGGATGTATGGAATGTCGCGCACCTCGTCCAGCATGGGGAAGAGCACGTTGAGCAGCGCGCGCCAGGCGGGCGGCGACAGCAGCGAGCCGTGCGCGCCCACGCAGCTGAACAGCGTCTGGCTCGATGGATGTACTGGATGTACTGGATGTAACGGATGTATGGAATGTCGCGCACCACGTCCAGCATGGGGAAGAGCACGTTGAGCAGCGCGCGCCAGGCGGGCGGCGACAGCAGCGAGCCGTGCGCGCCCACGCAGCTGAACAGCGTCTGGCTCGATGGATGTACTGGATCTACTGGATGTAACGGATGTATGGAATGTCGCGCACCTCGTCCAGCATGGGGAAGAGCACGTTGAGCAGCGCGCGCCAGGCGGGCGGCGACAGCAGCGAGCCGTGCGCGCCCACGCAGCTGAACAGCGTCTGGCTCGATGGATGTACTGGATGTACTGGATGTAACGGATGTATGGAATGTCGCGCACCTCGTCCAGCATGGGGAAGAGCACGTTGAGCAGCGCGCGCCAGGCGGGCGGCGACAGCAGCGAGCCGTGCGCGCCCACGCAGCTGAACAGCGTCTGGCTCGATGGATGTACTGGATGTACTGGATGTAACGGATGTATGGAATGTCGCGCACCTCGTC